CAGCAAAGTACAGAATTTTCAGTATACAGCTTGCTTAATTTTTGCATGTGTGTATTCCCATGTAACTACTACCCAGATCGATGTATACCATTTTCAGCACCCTAGAAGGCTCTCTCGTGCCCCTCTCAGTCTATGTCATCTCTCAGGTGTAACCAGTATTCTGATTTCTGTCACTATAAAATTAGTTTTGCCTGTGCCTGACCTTTGTGCAAATGGAATCCTTTATATCCGGTTTCTTTCACACAAAATCAGGTCTGTGAGATTCTCCCATGTGGTTGCAGATAGCTACAGTTCCTCCTCCTTTTTTTTTTTTTTTGTCTTTTTCCGTGTCTGGCAACGGATCGCAACCCTCAGTGTTGCCCCCGTACCGGACCGGGGACCAGCAATGGGATTGCAACCCTCGGTGTTGCTCCCGCGCCTCGCTCAGCCAGTGAGCGGGAATCGGTCTGTATGTAGGATCCGAACCCTCGGGCGGGAGCGCTGCCGCGCTTCCCAAGCGGCGCACTATCCAGTGCGCCACCGGGCCGGCCCTTCCTCCTCCTTTTTATTGCTGTATCATATTCCCTTGTGTGAATGTGCCACAGTTTATCCACTCTATGACTGATAAATTTTGGTTTATTTCCTGTTTTGGAGTATTATGAATAGCATGTCTTTTGTTGGGCAAAAGCATTCGTTTCTCTTTTCACTCGGGAGTGTAGTTGCTGGGTCACAGGACATGCTCGTGGTCCGGAACGTCAGGAGGCTCTGCAGACAGTGAGTGGCTGTATGCTCTGAGGGCTTTGCTGTGTCCCCTGCGCTCAGCGACTGTAAGCTGCTGCTTGACCCCTTTCTTGTTCTTTGTGTTTTCATCTTTCACTTGCTCTGCCACCGAGCCACAGTGTTGGACAGAAGGAATGGTTATCACACAGACGAAGTGAGAATAAGTAAGTGCCAGTGTGCAGGCTCCCTTCGGATCTGTCCCCTGGTGGTCTGCTGACATGTGTGCAGCTCACCGCCTCCATCACGTCACCTTCAGCCCCATTTTCTCAACATTAGAAAATGTTGAAGGAGGTAGGACATGAAACATGGTGGGAGATCCTGTTCCTAAATAGCAGATGTTCAAGAGTCAGGCTAGACTTGAGAAAGCTAACAGGTGTTTGATTTCCTGCCAAACTTGTTGCTTTCCATTTAATATATTTAGTAAATGTGTGCTGGGCACAAGTCTGATTGCTGGGAATGCAGCGCTGAGCAGGGCAAATAGAACTTACATTGTGGAGGGAGGCAGACCACGCAGCAGCCCCCCGAGGGGAGAGCTGGGGAGAAGTCCCAGGGCTCTGCAGCCACAGAGGGCATGGCCTTCACCAGGACTGGGAGGGCGGGGCACGTACCAGGGGAAGTCATGCCCAACCTGAGCCTGGAGAGTAGACAGAAGGGAGCCAAGCCCCAAGGCCAAGTGCGAGGAGTGTTCCAGGCAGAGGGAACAGCTAGAGCAACAACCAGACACTCAGGGAACGTAGAAACACAGAAAATGCTCTGAGACTGGAGCAGAGTGTTTAACAGGAGGGGAGCAAGAAAGGAAGCTGGAAACGTGATGAGGTCCCAGATCACGAGATGCCGAAGTAATGCCAGCGGCACCCCATGGCCAACACTCCTGAGGATCTGGACTAATCACACCTCACGGGCCATCCCATGTACTCCACGTCCTTAAGACACAGGCACATGCCTCCCGATTGGTGTCCACCCGTGTCCCCTGGTCACAAAGCTGTTCTCCTGTGCACCACCACGGAAGCCACGCTTCATCCTGTGAGGTCAGCCTCTTTTGTGTGGTCGTGTTTTGTTCTAGAGACATCATTTAGGATAGTGTTTCTCAAACCTAAGTAGTATACAGATCTCTTAGAGAAAAACAGATTTCATGGACCTTTAAATATTGACTTAAATCAGTTAATGTTCCTTAAATATTGTAACATAATAAGAAATATGTATTTGGTCTCTGTCCCTGGTTCCTGACACAAAGCTCCTAAAACCTTCAGAATTTCCTGGGTGATAGGAGAAGCATTTGTTCTAATGAGGCAGCTCTTGGTGGGGGCCTCATGGGGGCTGGTGACCAGGATGACCAAACCACGACTAGAAGCTCAGAGCTTTCATCCCCACCCCCTGTCCAGTGGGGAGGGCAGAAGGGCCTGAGACTGAGTTAGTCATTGATCTGCCTACATGATGAAGCCTCCATAAAAATTCCTAAAAGACATTGTTCAGAGAGCTTCTGGGTTGGCAAATACATCCACGTGCTGGGAAGGTGTGCACTCCAACTCAAAAAAAGCTCCTTTCCTCTGGACTTTTCCAGACCTCACCCCAGGTATCCATTCATCTGGCTTGTTCATTTATATCCTTATCATATCCTTTAATAAACAGCTAATCATGAGTGAGTATTTCCCTGAGTTCTGTGAGCCATTATATTATAGCAAAATATTGAACTTGAGGAGAGGGTTGTGGGAACCCCCAGTTACAAGCTGGACAGAAGTGTGGGTAATCTGGGGACCCCTTGTGGGGTCTGCCCTAACTCTGGGTAGTGTCAGAATTGAGTTAAATTGTCGGACACCCAGCTGGTGTACACAGAGAATTGGACAATTGCTTGGTGTGGAAAATCCACACTTTCTGTTTACAAAGTATATGTGTCCATGAGCCAGGGTTGTTCCAGTAAACCCACTTCTCTGACACCAGCTAAGGAGGAAAAACCTGTTTTTCCTATTAACCCTTCAACACTCTGACCCCATCTGGGTTTAGTTCCGCATACCTTTGCTGCCGGGCTGGGTGGAGATCCCACTGTCTCCACCTCTCCTCTCTTTCGGACTCTGGGAAACCATAACACCACTTGGCTTCATTTGAAGTACAGGCATCTCACACATTAAAGACGCCTCTTCCCCGAGCCACGTGGTGCCGGGAGTATTGTTAAGTGTGCAGGCTCCAAAACGCGGAGCGTGCACATTTGCTGTTGCCCATGAGTGTGTGTGTCAAATACCACACGCTTGTGTTAGAAATCAGACAAGAGACTGATTTCTCTCGACCACAGTAGTTTCTATATTTTAATGCAGCTTGAATTCAAAGTAATAAAAATGCTCCAGGCTTACTACACGGAAATGCTGTGTGGAAAAGGATTGGGTCTGTGAATGAGGGCGAGAGCAGGTGGGAGGCTGAGGGAAGCAGTTGCCTGACTTTCAAGGGTTCTAAAGTTGTGCTGATTAGATACTCTTTTTTGGTTTTTCTGCAGGGGTCGGCACCAGGAATTATTATAGAAAGATTGGCTACAGGTTGCAAGGTCCGTACATGGTAAAGATGCTGAAATAATGGCTACACACCAGTCCACCTTTATGAAGCTTAATCCCGGGCCCCTTAGCTCCTGTGGCATTTTACAAAGATTTGTTTAATGGAATTGATTCCTCTAAAAGGGTCTGAAAATAAAAAATCTTTAACATACAAAGAAAAGTCGTGTGTGTATGTGCGTGTGTGTGTTTCAGTCCCTGTGAATGCAATGACATTTGCCATGAGTTTACAGGGTTCTGTTTCCCACCTGTGACAGTTTATGTCCTCCTGGGTGCAGTTTGCCATTTCGTTAAACCGCTACAAGGCACGTGGCAGCGGCTTTCTCATGGGCTCGCTGCAGAACTACTGCGGCTTTCCATGAGTGGTGTTTAGGGAGGTTAGCTACTTCTCAGTTATGTATGCTTTTCCCCTCTATAAAAATAAACTATCAAACTAATAAAGCATACCCCGTACTGCCTGTTACACACACGCTACTGGAGGTAGAAGGGAGTCCATGCTGGGCTGGCAGGTGGGGCCCAGGCAGGCAGGGGAGCCTCTGGACCTCGATTTTCTCCTCTGTCCTATTCACCTGAGTGGATCAAAACATGTGATGTACACGTAAAGTTTATCTTAAAAAATGACAATAGCAAGATTTTAAAATGAAATTGCCAAGGAATTTGCACCTTTCTGACATGCCAGTTATTGTTTGATCCTGATTGTCATCTCGGGGTTCAGGAGAATACCTCTTTCTAGTTCATCCTCGGCCTTCCCTGGCATAAGTCTCTGGTGGACTATGCAAAGCTGCAGAAGTGGTGAAGCTTCACCAGGTGTCAGAGCTCTTGCTTTCTTCCTCCCACCAGAAACTTCAGCTTCTCCTGTGACCACCAAAGGCTGTTCCTGGCGGTGTGGTACATGGCGCTTCTGCCGCCTGGTGGGTGTGCTCTCCAGTCCATGGGCTGCCTCATAAGAAAGATCAAGCTTGGCATGAGCTTTCCAGCCTCCATGAAACCCTCAAAGCTGCGGCTTGTTTCTGCTCAGTATTGAACAACTCCCTCACGATTTGGCATGCTGCTGATGGAGGAAGCAGAAAGAATAGCTAGAGAAGAGCATGGATCTGGGAAAATAGCTGTTATATCAGGGGTCGGCACCAGGAATTATTATAGAAAGATTGGCTACAGGTTGCAAGGTCCGTACATNAAGGTCCGTACATGGTAAAGATGCTGAAATAATGGCTACACACCAGTCCACCTTTATGAAGTATCCTTTCTGGCAGAAGAGAGAGAATCAGGGTTTCTTGAATACTCAGCAGAGACGCTAAGCAAAGCAAATGGACCAAACTGTCCCCCGGCGGGAGCTTCCCCTCATCCTGCAGCTGCAGAGACTAGAAACTGCTTTCGAGGCCAGGCTGGACGTCTGCTGACACACCCCAGAGCTGTCCCTCCTGTGTGCACCAAGAAGTCACTACAGTTTCTGAGGCTTAAATTGTTTATCCAATTTCTGAATTCTGCACAAGGCCTGCAGGTGACCTATTTTGACTCAGACACGGTGACAAAAGCAAATTAACTCATTTGGACACCACAATTCATGAAATAAAACTAATGCTTGTCATTTGAGGAGCACACTTAGGAGTAGGTTATTTATATACTGTAGGGACAGGTTGGAACNGCACATCAGGAAAATGAGCTTTTGTTTTAATGGAAATCGTTCTGGTTACTGTGCTCATGTTTTGAAATAACTGTGATGGAGAGAGAGGAACTGAGCTTGTGGGTTTGTGTTTAAGCTTGACGGTGGCTGTCCCCCAGCCTCTCCCATTCAGGAGCCTCCCATCTAAGACAGGCCATGACAAAGAGCCTTTGTTTCACATTCTTTGCTGTTTGTACTTCACACACTCTTGGCGACTGCAGAACAGCGTGGACAGCCACATCTGTGGTGCCCAGAAGGTGCTGGCTTTCCCATTCGTCTGTCCTGCAGAGTCCAACGTGCACATGTCTGGGGCTGTGTGGCCCTAAGTCAAGATTAGCTTTCACAGATGCTGTTCCCTGCATGTTAATTCTTTAAGCTGGATTTTGGTTTGTATTAAATGGAGAAAGGTAAGAGTTCAACTCCTGTGTGAAAGCAAAAAATGGAGAAAAGGGTTGTCTTCTTCAGAGGTCCATCTTGTAGAAACGCCTCTTTGAAATTTTCAGTTAATCTACTGAGGAGACTCATCCTAGAGCAGGTCAGTTCCTAAATTACCACCCTTAACCTCAGATTAAGGCTTAATCCCGGGCCCCTTAGCTCCTGTGGCATTTTACAAAGATTTGTTTAATGGAATTGATTCCTCTAAAAGGGTCTGAAAATAAAAAATCTTTAACATACAAAGAAAAGTCGTGTGTGTATGTGCGTGTGTGTGTTTCAGTCCCTGTGAATGCAATGACATTTGCCATGAGTTTACAGGGTTCTGTTTCCCACCTGTGACAGTTTATGTCCTCCTGGGTGCAGTTTGCCATTTCGTTAAACCGCTACAAGGCACGTGGCAGCGGCTTTCTCATGGGCTCGCTGCAGAACTACTGCGGCTTTCCATGAGTGGTGTTTAGGGAGGTTAGCTACTTCTCAGTTATGTATGCTTTTCCCCTCTATAAAAATAAACTATCAAACTAATAAAGCATACCCCGTACTGCCTGTTACACACACGCTACTGGAGGTAGAAGGGAGTCCATGCTGGGCTGGCAGGTGGGGCCCAGGCAGGCAGGGGAGCCTCTGGACCTCGATTTTCTCCTCTGTCCTATTCACCTGAGTGGATCAAAACATGTGATGTACACGTAAAGTTTATCTTAAAAAATGACAATAGCAAGATTTTAAAATGAAATTGCCAAGGAATTTGCACCTTTCTGACATGCCAGTTATTGTTTGATCCTGATTGTCATCTCGGGGTTCAGGAGAATACCTCTTTCTAGTTCATCCTCGGCCTTCCCTGGCATAAGTCTCTGGTGGACTATGCAAAGCTGCAGAAGTGGTGAAGCTTCACCAGGTGTCAGAGCTCTTGCTTTCTTCCTCCCACCAGAAACTTCAGCTTCTCCTGTGACCACCAAAGGCTGTTCCTGGCGGTGTGGTACATGGCGCTTCTGCCGCCTGGTGGGTGTGCTCTCCAGTCCATGGGCTGCCTCATAAGAAAGATCAAGCTTGGCATGAGCTTTCCAGCCTCCATGAAACCCTCAAAGCTGCGGCTTGTTTCTGCTCAGTATTGAACAACTCCCTCACACCCACCTCAAGCCCAGTCAGAGAGTTCTGCTTTTAGTTCAATTTTTGGCTAAATCACCTGAAGAGTTTTTTTTTTAAAAAAGATCAAGCCAGGGGTCGTCCCGTGGCTCACTCGGTAGAGTGTGGTGCTGATAACACCAAGGCCACGGGTTCGGATCCCATATAGGGATGGCCAGTTTGCTCACTGGGTGAGCGTGGTGCTGACAACACCAAAGTCAAGGGTTAAGATCCCCTTACTGGTCATCTTTTTTTTTAAAAAAAAAAAAAGATCAAGCCATATCGGGAGCCAACTGAGTATATTTGAGTAGAAAGTCAG